TCCTACAAACATAAAATTCACAAAATAACTATCATTTAATTAAAATATCACTAAACCATGTACACGTCGACTTATTTTTACTTAAAAAAAATATCCCAGAATTGCACAAAAATGGCATTGCGCACACTCTTCACTATATCCATGTACACTGCTTTTTTGTCATAAATTAGAGAAATTAGAAAATTTAACGAAAATGATGAAAATTTGTGAATCTTTAATCTGGTAAAAAGAACATATATGAAATTACCTATCACGAAAAAGTATATACCCTTTCCAAGGATGAACATTTCCATGTATAAAATAAATAAAATATTCAAAAACATTTACCTCTAAATTATCTATTATATTATAAACGTCAGCAACGAATTTATACGCAAACATTAAAAATAGTTACAAATACTTAGTGTCAAATATTTAAATAATTTCCATACACGTTTACTTCAACTGAAACGTATACCAAATTCCTACAAACATAAAATTTACAAAATAACTATCATTTAATTAAAATATCACTAAACCATGTACATGTCGACTTATTTTTATTTAAAAAAAATCCCAGAATTGCACAAAAATGGCACTGCGCACACTCTTCACTTCCATGTACACTGCTTTTTTCTCATAAATTAGAAAAATTTCATGAAAATGCATGAAAATACTCAAACGTATTCCAAAATAATACAAATATATTACTCACAAAATCACAATCATTAAATTAAAATAAATTAAATTAAAAACCACTACTTAAATATAATAAGCACATACATTAAATTAATAAAAATTAGATAACAATCCTAATTACTTTAAATTAAATCATTGCTAATAACAATTTCCAATAATACCATATTAATTTATTTACTCCTTACATTTAGAACAATGCATAAAAATAATATCCTCAAATGATTAAAAATACTAACTTACCTAATCTTCTTCAGAATCTTCATTAAGTGGCTGCATACTACTGCTATTTCTAAATCCTAATCCAGTAGTCAACTGGCAGTCTATGCACCCAACTAATAAGAAATTAATAAAATTTCACCCAATACTCAAACGACTTTCAGCAAACCACGTACCCTTCCTTACATTACGTTTCACAAAATGTCCATTTTCACCATATTTCTTGCACCGCCATTTAAACTTAACTGTACTATCCTTCCTTTCACACAATCTCAACTTATTACAGTCAAAAGTCGTTAATTCGGACACCCATAATCCGGAATGATCTATAATCCGGACCTCAAAGCTAAAAACTTTCTGCGCATGCGCCATCTTGGCACATGCGCACAGGCGTTTTACGCGTGCGCGTAAGACCTTGACTACTGTGCATATGCATGTGCGCAAGTGCAGAATACGTTTTCGCCTGCGCGTTTAATGTATAACGGACGGTGTAAGCTAAAATTATCTAATTATCGATTTCAGTTAATGTTAATGATTGCATTGTTCCTTAATCTTCGAATTGGATCCCGCTTATTATTTTTTGCCGATTGTAAGAGCAATTTTATAAAAGTAAACTTGAACTTTCGATTATGTCAAATAGAATTTCCGATGCTGGAACTTCCAAAGGATCTACAAAACGAAAGTATGTTTCGATGTCCAACAAACAAAAAGTGGTATTGCTGCAAAAAATGGATAAAGACATGAAGAATGTGACAGAGTGAAAACGAAAAAATTTCGATTGACAAGTTAGTCGGTATTCTCGGCACAGCAATTAACGGGACTTGAACAGCGGAACTTTGTAACTGAACAAGAAATTATGTCTGTTTATCGAATTAAAGAGAAAGTATGATCACGTAAAACAAAGCAACTTAAACAACTTACATTGAAAGAAATGTTTAATAAATTAAATAAATAAATATTAAGCTTTTTTTTTTTTGGTAAATTTTGATACCCTTTAGATTATAATTGTTCTTTATTTCATAAATTACGGTTTCATATTTTTAATTTTAGAATTTCTGCATGCCATATTACGAGATTTAAACTGACGATCTATAATCCGGAAAAATCGATAATCCGGAATCGCCGAAGTCCCGACAAGTCCGGATTAACGACTTTTGACTGTACTAGTATTATCAGATAAACGCATTAAAAATTTGAAATTCACTTTACATAGTGCCATGCAATCCGAAAATTAATCAACACTATTTCACACAACACACAATGAAGCTTTTCCAAATTAACTCCCTTTTTCCGATTAAAGAACTGTAATTCGTCCATTAATGTCACGTTTCACACAACACAGAATATAGCTAAATACGAAATTTTCAGATTTCCCCCCTTTTCCGATTAAACAACTATAATTCGTCCATTAATGTCACATGACATATCTCATGATCTCTCATTTCCCTCACACAAAATAATGTGTAATCGGAACTGAGTGCTTGTCACATTATTACCAAAGTCCTAGGTAGTAACCTTTATCGCCTCCAAAATGTCGCCAAACTACTAGTTACCATATTCCAAAGATCAGCCTTCCTTTTTTATGTTATTTTATTGTTTGGTTTAAAATGCATTATATTGAGATTATGTATTTTTTGTTTGCTTTGTTTTTTATATTTTAGAATTTGGTGCTCCTTTGACTTTTTAAGTGAAAATATATCGATGCGTACACAAAGTAGGAGTGCGCAATGCAAGTTTGTGCAATTCTGGGATTTTTTTAAGTGAAATCGGGCGACGTGTACATGGACAAAGTCAAAGGAGTGCGCAATGCCATTTCTGTGCAATTCGGGGATTTTTTTTAAGTGAAAATAAGTCGATGTGTACCTGGATACCGAGTTTTGCAATTGTTTGTCTTGTTATTTTGGCTTTGTGTAGCGGCGATTTTTGGCCCAAAAATTGCACAAAATCAGCATCCATGTACCGCCAAAAATCGAAAAGGGGTACCCTAAACTATACTTTTACCAAAATTTGTGAAATTATTTCATTCAAATTAAACTGTTCTTTGAAAAGCATAGCATTTAGTTCCATTCAGAATGAAATGTTGTTTAAAATTGTAATTCTTTTCACATATTTAGGACTGTGAAATATTGTAGAAAAAGAACATATGTACATTATGTGTATATTTATGACATAATTACAAAATATTTACATCCTATCGTGTCAAAACCCACTGATCTTAATGGTAAGAAACTAAATGTTTTGGTCACCATCGAATCCAATTTGAAGGGATCGCCAGTGCTTCAAAGCAATGTTTGAGGGAAACCAGTTAGGGCCTCTCCTTCATATTTCCTACCTCCAATGAGCCAGACATCAGGGAGAAGGACTATACATCACAGACCTGCAGTACGTGTCCCACTGTCTAGACCAGGGCTTCTTAAACTGTTTTCAATCACGACCCCTTTTTATCACCGAGACTTTTTTCGTGAACCCTGGACCCCATAATATTTACAAAAATTTTGCAGGACCCCATAAGCATTGTGCAAATCCGACACAAACGTGAGTGAAACCGTCAATATTTTCACTTGCACTGTAATATACTACTATTGCAGTTTTAGGTCATTAACTTTAATTTCTAATATTGAGACATAAAACAATGTGAAAATTTTAAATAAGTAACAGACAAAATGACAGCTTCATGTGCAAAGCAAGTAAAATGAATGTTTCTATTATAAAAAAATGCATCAAAATGTTTATGTTTTTTCTTCATCTGTATTGTCTTATCTTTACCTTTCTCAGATACATTGTGTAAAAATATTTGGTAATTGTAAAATTATGATAATAAGTTAAAAAAATATCAAAATTGCTAAAATTTTTGGCAACTTCCTGCTGCAGGTCCCATGACCCCCGTGGGGGTCACAACCCACATATTAAGAAACTCTGGTCTAAAGAGCACCATACTGCCCTTTTGCTATAATTTTGCAAACATCACAATTAGAGTGAACATGATTAGGCTTGTGTACTAGACTCAGATGAGAGTAGGTGCAATCTGTCGTCAGACTGTAGACACCGAATGATCTAGCAGGACAGCGGTAGAGCTTATCCTCCAAAAAATATCCAGAAAAGGACTTGTATCTGACATGCAATATCATGACCAATGGCGGCACATCCCTACGTATAATTGTAGTTGGGACTATGACTGGCTAATGATACATCAATAAAGTTCTGTCACAAGTTTGCCTTTTCTGTTGTGCTTTCGGTGATAAATTCCTTTTCATGGATGACAACACACCATATCATCAAATGCTTGCCTTTCATGATTGCATAAGCAGCAAGAATATTCAATGCCTTGTATGATAAGCATGATCAACAGATCTAAGCCCCATTAAAAATAACTGGGATATTCTGGAGAGGGGACTTGCAGTATGAAATTGCCCTCTAACAAACAAAAAATTGTCATCCATCCACTGACCAAAAAAAAAAAAAAAAAAAAAAAAAAAAAAAAATGGAATCAATTGCCTCAACAAGTGCTGCATAATATTTTGCAAAGTGTGACATAACAATTAGAAAGTTGCCTCACACTGCATGGTAAACATATCCCATACTGAAATCTTTCACAAAGGTGCCTACTTCTACTTCTCTATACACAGTATCAAAAGAACAGCTGTTTACATTTGGATGTTCCAAAACATTTTGTACTTTTCTGAACAATATTTTGTTCATGAAATGCCTTTAATTTAATGTCCGAATGGTGCAGCAACAATATTTCAGTCTGCTTAGTTATTTTATAAAGTTACATAAACTATCAAATTTATCAAAAGAAATACATCATTATTTTCATCATTTCTATCAATTTTGCATTTTCTACGGTTAAATGCAATACCGATGATGAAAAAACAATAAGAAATATTAATGAAGTAAAAATAGAGACAATAATTTTGGTTATGCAATAGAGAAAATACTCAAAATAATCTGATGATTTTTTTAAACATTTGACACAACCGAAATATATAAATGATGGATCACGCCTAAGTTTGAATGAACAGTTATATAAGACAGGCAAACGTTAGCAAATTAATACAAAATACTATATAGGATGCAAAAAAAAAATCTGTTTCCTAAAGACTTACCACTTCCTATACGATCCTGCGAATTCTAAGTTTAACAGATGGCCAGAAACTGAAGTCATTACCATTTGGCATCGTTGGTTAAAAAGATTATATTCAAATTCATATATTTTATTATAAACAGAACGACCCTCACGTCTTCGAAGTCTGCCATTAGACATAATTTCAGCTATACTTTTTGCAGCATCATTTTTTTCAGCTACGTTTAAAACGCGAAACATTTTAGAAGAACTGGTACGATGTCGAATAATATTGAGGGAAGCTTTTTCATAATTCAATTTTTTGATCGCGCAGGCAGATCTAAAACCAAAAAATAACGCGCGCCTCAAGTTTTTTAACATGTACTGCTAAAGAAATACAATCTCGTCAAGACTTTTAATAGTTATTACTATACATAAATTTGTCTTTATTCAAATGAAAATAAAATTCGAAAACAATAAACATGAAATACATTTTGAACGGCATAATGAAATTAAGCATTTTCATAAACCTCTCAAATTTATTTAATTTGACAGTGCAGAGGTTCATTAAAAACTTGAAAAATAAGTTTCGCGGCTCACACATTAAAACAAAATACCGCTCATTCGTTTGGTATTGCCACACATAGACCAAAAAAATGATACATGAGACAAGAAATGAAAGAGTTTGCAATTGAATTAGAAGATCAACATCCTTAATTTATGTAGAAGTAAAGTATTTACGTATTATATATTAAGAATGAATGCTAAATTGATATATGAGCGCTTTTCAATTTAAATCAATGTTAAAAAAGTTTTCCTTCTTTAAGAATCACTTTTACAAATTTAGAAATGGGCAAGATTTGTAATATTTACTTTAGTCTATAATGTGTCGCAATCTAAAGGGTTATATGGAATTTTGAATCGTGTACCATGGAAAATAAAAAAAGTTCGTCCTGTTCTACCTAAGAAAGCGGAATCGTGTCTTTAAAGTAAACTTTTTGACAGTGATAGCGATAAGATTCTTGCAGAAAGAAACCACTACCAAATACCTCAACCAAAGAAGAAAGTAAAGTGAGCAGTTAGATGATCCTCCATATATGAATATGACAGTATATGATGATATGAAGGCAAAGGAAGTTGCCAAAAGCTGTTCCCAGAAAAGACTTCTCGTTATATAGATTCACTCCAAGAGCCGCAAGAAAAAGAGGAGAAAGAGTACGAACGAAGAGTTGAAAGAAATTCAATTGAAAGGAAAAGGAAGGATGAGTTTAAAAGATAAAGAAGCATTGTTATCAACTACAAAAAGAAATTGCAGAAAGATGGAGGAGAAAAAGGGCACGTCGTGAAAAATGGTAAAGGATGAGGACGTTACAAAGCAGAAGATTTAAGGCTTACGATTTTTCGCAAATCATTATCGGGAGTTTATTTCAATTGAAAAAAATAAAGCTCTATTCTATTTATTCTACGTTTCCTAGTCTATTTATTTCTACCTTTTGTAAAATAAGGTAGTTGCATGACCCCCCCCCCCAAAAAAAAAATCGCAAATCATAATTAGTTCATATTTTCGTAAATCGTTATCGGGAGTTAATTGCAATTGAAAAATAAAGCTCTATTATATTTATTTCTACCTTTTGTAAAATAAATAGCTACCTCAGATGCTAAATTTATGTAGGGAAGAAGGACCAGAAAGGTAAAATACAACTTTTTATTTAAGCTCAATGCTCCTAAAAATATATTAGAATATATACAGGTGACACTTGTATATTAAAGTGGCCACCATAACAAAATAAGCTGATTGAATTTGCCAATTTGTAACATGTAACTTTTAGATATTGCAAGGCTCTGTCTGCTTTAATAAGGAACTTAATATACAGTGCATATGCAGCAATTTTTTGATTTTCAGTTATAACTTTATTTTTACTGTTTTAATTATGAGTCCAGGAATGCTTCAGGATGAAGTATCCCAACGTATATGAGCTTGAAGTTATGCAGCTCCTTATTTTATTTTACACATTTATACCTGTAGTTAATTTGTATTTGAAATTGTGAATAATTCATAAAATGCTGGTGAACAAAACCTGTGTCTATACATAAGAATTAGCTTTAATAAAATAAGTAGCATCAAAGTCTAATAATTTATGCTAATTGCTCTAAAAACCCCATACTTTTCTTCAAAACAGCACTTGAGTTATTAATTGTGTTAACAATGCAGTTGTTCTACATTTTTATGCACAGTGCTGTTACTTTCATTCTTTGGTTCAAAAAAGTGAATGGAATTATACATTCTGAAAATTAGTTCACAGCAATAATAATCTTTTACTCGTATACAATTAAATTTTCATAATTTAAATTTAATTAGCTTTATGCAAATGAGAAAATTGATAAATTCTTATGAAATGTATAATATTTTTAAACCAGTGCATTTTTAGCCACTGGTTCTTTTTAACTTAATTCATATGCATTTTGGTTGCAAGATAAATAGGTATTCTTCTGTTATCAGGACAAGATTCAGAATTATGTATATGCATGTATGGATGGATGGATGTGTGTAAGTCCATACATGCATATATATATATATATATACATATACACATGCATACATATGTACATTTCTGAAACTGATCCCAATAACAAAACAGTAATAATTAAATAACATCCTGACTACTGGGAATCTGAGGTCTGAACTTTCATTAGTTGCACCTATCACATAACTTCAGAGATAACTGTATTATATTTTAGTACTTAAATATTAGCTTGTTAAAGTTAAAAAGTAGCAAAGCTGAAGAATGCAAATGTGATATATTTCTTAACAATCATGTACAGTGGGGGGGGGAATAGGGCAAAGCCTGGAGGGCTATCTCTTTAATAATGGTTTTGATTATCTGCAGAATAAAGAAAACTAAAAAAGGTTATGAAAATTAGTTTGTTGAATTGAAGATTGGCCAAATGATAAAGATTTATTTGCTTATAAATTATTTCTACATATAACTGAAATTTTATGATATGTGCTTGCTGGCTTCAGTTGTAAATAGTACTGTTATTATGACAGTTTAACTCTGGATATTTGCACAATGTTACCTCAAATTGGAACTATAGGATAAAGCGTAGTAAAAAAAATGTTGGGAGGTCATAAATAAAATAAACGCAGAAATTTACTCAAGCCAGTATTATTGTGAATGAATAGAACAGCAGCTAGCAAATTTATTATAATTCACAATTAATGTTCAAATTGTCATTATTGAGAATAATGTTCATTTTTGTCAAAGAGAAAGTGGACAGTTTTTACGACAGAAATATTAACTGAAATGCAAAAGAACAACAAAACTATAAATTTAACCACATTAATATTTTTATTCATTACAGTTTTATCATTAAACATGTTTATTGCTTCTGTATCATGCCAAATAGACTGGCTACATGGACGTTTTCATAATTTTCTCTATGTATGATATGAATTTATGCTTTCAAAAAGTTAACCTAGTATTATCAGTCACTTCCTAATTAAAATGCATTCAAAAAAAGCTTTATAATTAACCTAGCATTATATCAGTCACTTTAAAGTCCCAGTACTCGGTTAATTTAGCATTTGTAGCATCAGTGTTTTTATACTATACTACAAGTGTTATTAATATTTTAAATTTAGTGCTGCATTTTAATAACTTTAACATTTATTTTGTTCAATAAATAAATGAACTAAAAATATAAATTAATTTATTACAATTCTATTTTGTAATTATTATGCAAATTGTTTCATGTTTATAATTTTTAACGCTTCCAACTGACTAGTGCGAGCAGAAAAAAAGGTCGTTATCCGGACTGTCGGGCCTCGGCGATTGGTTCGATTTTACGGATTATAATATCATTTATGGAAGAGGATCAGAAATTTAAAATTAAAAATATGAAACCGTACTTATAAATAAAGAACAATTATATCTAAGGGTATCAAATTTACAAAAAACAAACACTAATATTTATTTGTTTACTTTATTAAACATTTCTTTCAATGTAAAATTGCTTCGTTTTTTTTGTGATAATACATTTCTTTAATTCTATAACAGACATAATTTCTTGTTCAGTTACAAAGTACGCTGTTCAAGTCCTATAATTGCTGTGTCTACCGACGATTTGTCACGAAATTTTTTCGTTTTCAATAACCTCTGTCACTTTCTTCGCTATCGGAAGCGAATTTATGACAAGGATCATATCAAAGAGGATTTAAATCATATTAAGACGGAGTACATCGAGATGAAACTACATGTAGCAAGTATGCCAAATAAAAAAACATCTGCCCTGAAGATATGCACCTTCAATTCATTGCGCCGTGGCGTTAAAGATAAACAAGTTATATAAACAAACTTAACGTTTTAGATAAACAAAGGATATGCCTTATCCATTTTGCAGCAATTCCACTTTTTGTATAAGGACTTAAAACATACTTTCACTTGTAGATCCTTTACCTATTAGTAAATATATATCAGAAATTCTATTTGACATAATCAAAAGTTCAAGCTTTTTTATAAAATTGCTCTAACAGTCTGCAAAAAATAATAAGCCGAATCCATTCGAAGATAAGGAAACAACGCATCTGCAACATTAACTGAATTAGATAATTTTAGCTTAGCTTATACCGTCATTATACATATGTTCATTCGTAAACGTATTTTACACACGCATATTCCGCCGTAAAGGTTTCACGTATGCGTAAGTTGTAGTCGAGGTCCGGATAGGTGTCCGAATTAAACTTGTATATATAGAGGTGCTCTCAGCAAGTTAGCAACAAAATATTCATCCGCTGTCGGCGTCATTCCAGTGTCATTAAGCTGTGAACAGCCAAGTTAATTATCTTCAGGGAAAGTGTCTGCACTAAGCAAACACAATGACATTCCAAAAAAGAACGTCAGTCAAAATAAAAACTTAATATCTAAATCTCGGAAAATCAGACAATTAAGCCACAAATCTTGCGACGAATTTTTCAGTTGCTCGGCTTAGTGTCACAAAGTTAGATGCCAATAAACTGAAAAGCTATGACAGGTACTGTATCATATCCTTCAATGAAATCTGTTTCAAGCAAGCTTATCAGATGATAAGCAAAATGATTGCATCATTGGATAAAAAGACTATGGTAATGATTTCATTGCTGAGTATGAAGGCTATGGTTCCTAGAATGAGCAAAATGGTTATATGTCAGTATGCTGTCACTATTAAAATTCTAACTTATGTATTATTACTTCATACTGGTCATATTAGGTTTCAGAATGTATGCTCTTTTTATATAGAACTATATAAATGTAGAAAATCTGAAAAGTTAATTTTATATGGAAAGCCTTCATGATGAATGTGATTTGAGACAACTTTCTTAAATTAACATCCAAAACAGATAAAGGAAATGAAAGATGAAATTTATGTTTTTATTGAATGAAATCTCGGTTAAGTGGCTGTATGCAAAGGTTAATGATAGATTTGTGCTAAATGATGTGCGTGAAATTTTATTTTTATTAATATTTATAATTTTTTCCAAGGTTGT